TATATATATATATATATATATATATATATATATATGTAGGACTTAATTTGGCGGTATTTATAATATTTGGTAGTTTTTGGTAGTTGTAATTGTTTTTGAAAAAGCTTGAAGATGTATATATTCTATATTTTATTTTTGGTAGAGACTCTAGACATTTTTTTCAGTGTTTATAGAAGGTAAATAAAATTAGCTGTGTTACATATTTACCATTCCCTTTAAATTACTTGCATATTTATGTTTACACATTATAGGAATACGTTATTTTTATCTTAATTTGTTCACTTCAGAAAATATCTCATCTAGAAAGATTTACTTGTATGTTAATGTTCATTCAGTTCCTTAAAATTTAGCAATAACTATTTAGACTTGCTGTCTTATCGTATATTATGCAATTTTGTTTTTACACATTACAATAAAGAAATTATCCAATAAGATAAAATCCTTGGAAACAAAAAGTTTAAACTACTTTTCCTTATTTCTGGCACTTGTTTTTGTATGAGAATAGCACTGTTTTTTTAGTTAATAATGCTTCATACGTTATTTTATATCTGTCTCTTATTATTTACATTTTGTTGATTAGCTGTTTGATTTCATATTATTATTTTTCTATTTCTCTTCAAGTTGTTTGATAGAATTCACTGGTTTTTCTTTTATTAGGGCCATGATAAACCAGTCAATACCATTAAGTTTAGCCCTGATGGAAGATGGATTGCTTCTGCTGGAGATGATGGAACAATTCAGGTAAAATATTTTTGTTTTACTAATCTTCCCTTTGTTGAAACATTTTTTTAGCTTTGATTATACTGTGCAGTTACTTGCAACACAGGTTCTTTCACTGCTTATTGAAAATGAGTCAGTGTTCTCTTTAAGAAATAATAAGGCTGTTGGTGTATGGGGTAAAAAAACAAAACCAATGAACTAAAATATAAAACTAGTTTAATGATACAGAACTTTATTCAATTGTTTTGTCTATTTAATGAGGTATGTGAAGATGTGTTAAAGCACATTTTAAACTTGACTGGATTATAAAGATTAAACAGTGTACCTTATGATTTCTAAATTTTTAGACTTTCTCAACATGTGAAGCCTACCATGTCTTGTGTTACCATCCTTGAAGTAAAACCTCTTCTTGTATATATATAATTTTTTTCCTATTTTCCAAAAAACAAAAACCTGTTATAATTTGAATACAATACATACATGTGTGTAGATTATTAAAGAGGATGCAGAATTGGATTTTAAAAAGTTTGATATTTGCTCAAATAAATTTAAGCTAAGAGCAGCTTTGAAAACTGTATATTTTTTTTCTTAAATATTATGAAGCATCGCTTAAAATATGTGAATGGGCTGTATGTGTGGTTCTGTGTAACTTACAATAATATGCTTGGGAGTTTGTGAGGATGTTAATGTTTGTGTAACCTGCTTCAACAGCTTTGGGACCTGCCTGCAGGGAAGAAGCTAACAGAATTCAGAAGTCATTCAGGCCCTGTTGTGGATATTGAGTTCCACCCTAATGAGTTTCTTTTAGCAAGTTGCAGTACAGACAGGTGAGTGGCACACTTCAACAGTCATCTAGCACTTTGTATTTTACTTATGGACATCTAAGGTTGAACTCTTTTTTTTTTCAACGTAGTTGGAGGAGCAGCATATTAAAATTTTTGAATTTGTATTTATACTGATAAACTTGTAAATGTCACCATACCTAAATCACACACTTCACACATAAGCATAACAACCAATGCATGTTGTTGAGCCTACTTTAACAAATGCTTATTAGCAGTAATACAATCACATGTGTATTGGTGTCACGCACTTGACCACTTTGGAAAAAGTTGAGCTGCTTTAATGTTGTTCTGACTTCAACATTTGAACATGAAGACAATTCACAGCAGTTTTATTGTTGTTAGAAAGTATTTTGAATATTTACTGCTGTGCAAGCTAAAAGAAACATCTTTTATGGGGTTTTAAGCAGACTGTGTGTACTTTTGTTTTAACATACATTGTGGATTTTAATACTTTTTGTTTGTTTTGTGTTTGAATGGTGAATTTAATAGATGATTTAACTTTCTTTTCCAGTGCCAACTTCCTTGTTTTGTCTTTTATATATTTTTTTCTTCTGTGTTTGCTGTACTGGTTTGATTTTTTCCTATCTTAATAGAACAACCTTAGGTGTAACAATTGGTTCATTCTCTGTTTATAATATAACAGTTCAGGCAAAAATACTGATAGCTCAGTTGTACAATTTTTTACTTAGATTACTTGCTTCAGTCTCCTGGAACAGTATCTGGTTATAGCATTTAACATGTTGTCTGTAGTAGATAAGGAGTATAGATGTTTCCAATCCAATATCTTACCTCCTCTCACAAAATAGCTTTTCTCGATTAGTACTTCCCTGTAACGACACAAATTTTCCATGCTCGGCACCAGCCTTCCACCTTCTATTTCTGCATATTTACATTTAAATGATTATGCAGCAGCTCTTCACCAATATTAGCATGACACAACCCCTGTTCAGTATGGGATTCTAGTTTTTTGTGAGTTGAGATAAGGTATCATATTGGAAGTTAACATTTTCCAAAACTAAAAATGTATTTCTGATTGATACTTACCTCTCTCACATTTCTCACCTGTCCTCCCCACTTCCAGGGGGGTTTAGTTTGATCTGACCAATCTCGAAATGGTTAAAAAGTGCAAGATTAGAGATGGTGCTAGTTTCAATAAGAGTTGTGTCACACTCTTATTGATGGAGGGTTGCTGCATAATCATTTGCATGTTAGTATGTAGATATCTCATGTTAACATATGTGAGGGTATCGAAGCTAGTGGCAATCAAAAATTTGCTCAACAGAGGACAGTACAAGTCAAGAAAAGCTTTTTTGTAAGGGGAGGTAAGTATTTTTAGTTTAGGAAAACATTAATTTCTTATTCATTTTAATATTTGTCTTGTATTACACACATACAGAAGTTGTGATTTTAGGTAATTTTCAGTTTTGTATTATCATAGACATTATATTTATGTAGTTATATGTTGTTTTAATTCTGGAAGATAATAGAATTGGAGTAAAGTTTTCAATTAGATGATATTTTATAGATATTTACAAATCCATACCTGTCAAAACTCTTTAATTGCACCAATCTGTCATAGAAAAAGCAGTTTTGAAATCAGTGATGCATGATTCCGTCTTTACAAATTTAATTTTTTTTTAAGTTTAATTTTAAATCAGTTTTTGTTAGTTGTTATGAAATTCATTCTAATAATTTCTTTTTTATAAGAAGTATGATATACTTTCTCTGTAAGGTCAGTCAGATTTTGGGATCTGGAAAGTTTCCAGCAAGTTTCCTCTATTGAAGGAGAGACTGGACCTACCAGGTAAGTGTTCAATACACCTATTTAATTCCTAATTTTACCTGATCTGTAATGAATTATTTGAGGTTTTTTAGTGATAACCTTAGAGCAGAGAATTTCTATTGTTTGGAATATATGTCACCTTGAGGATCAGCAGAAAATGTTTTTGACCTGTAGATGCCTCTCATAGGTTGTGTAACTCAGGTCAGATGTAAGTTACACCTTCAAACCCTGGAGCTCAACTGTAACTAAGTCAGATAACAGCTTTACCAGGTAACTCATAAGATTGGTTACTCCTTCTAGCCCTGGAGTTCAACTAAATGTTTTGCTGTCATTTCTCCTTATTCAGGTCAGATACCTTTCACTTAAAAACCTGTAAGGTTGATTTCACCATCGAACCTTGGAGTTCAACTTGAACTCAGCATTATATAGAAGTTTACCAAGTAACCCGTAGATTGGTTACAATTTCATACCTTGTTGTTCAACCTTAACTTCTATTATCAGACCTATATTGGTCATATAGAAGCTTTGACAGTTATCTTATAATACTAATCACAGCCTTGGGTCTGAGCTGAAACCTCAGCTACAAAGATCAGATGGAAGTATTTCCAACATTTCTAAAAGTCGGGAAGAGTAATTTTGTTTAACTAGTTGATAAAACAGTTAAAGAGTTTACTATCAAAGGAGTGCATGAGTTTTGAAAAAAAAAATATCTTAAAAGATATCATGTATGATTGAAGAGGTACTGTATCTGTCTGTTCAGTCACATGGACATTTTGTTATGTTGTAAGTGGGTGTGAATAAGAATTACATAAAACATCCGTTTGTGTGTTTTTTTAATGTAAATCATACGTTATAATGCTGAATATGTACTAACATTCGATTAAAATAAAATAATTTCCTTTGTTTTTCTTTCATCTAGGTGTATATATTTCAACCCAGGTGGGGAATGCCTTTTTTACGGAGCTCTAGATGTTCTCAAGGTGTATGGGTGGGAACCATCTCGCACCTACGACACCCTTGTGTTGGGTTGGGGAAAAGTTACTGACATATCCACATCTCAGAACCAACTGGTGAGTTACGATGTAGATTGAAGTAAAAATAAATAAATTATGAGAATAATATTTATGATGATAATAAACAAGCAAATTTGATAAAATTTATGTTCTTTTTACTAGTTTCAATGGAATTAATGCAATCTTTCAAGTCAGTATTTTCTCTTCTAAATATAGTTTCTGTTAGATCACTTCTGTACTAAATAATTAGATATTTCTTGCTGCTGTATTTATCTTAATGGAGAACATGTAAACAAAGTATAGCAAAGTTGAATTTGTTGCGTAATATAATCCTGAATGTGGAACTTTTAATAAAATATTTATATAACATTTTATATCTTGGTGAAGGAATCTAAAATATAAATGGTATAAGTAAGTTTAAGACAAGTGATGATGTGTATAAAAAGAAAAAAAATATAGATTACTGATTTCAAAGCTAAGTATTGTAACAAGTACATCAAATATCCCAAAAACTGAATAACAAAATACATTTTGAAATCATTTGACATTTAATAATAAGATCTTGATCCAAACAAGTGAAACACATTTTTTCTATAATGTATATCTTAACCTTATTTGAACCTTATTTTTTTTAATAATTCAATATGAAGGTATAAAACTAATGTTTTATTTGTCAGTTGCTTGTTTTTCATAAGAAAAACTTAATTTGATTTTTGGTAAAATATTGCAATAGATTGCTGGAGCGTTTTCCCTTACGAATGTGTCTGTGTATGTAGTAGACCTGAAGAGGGTACGGCCATTTGGCATTCCTCCAACTAGTAGAGCCAAATCATTTGAATCACAGCCAGCCTTTTCGCCAAAGTAAGTTTTAATGATTTTCTGTTATATATTTATATAGATGTATATTTTAATCAATAATTATTTATATTCAAAGATAATTGCCAAAAAAAAGTTAGTTATTAAAAAATGTTTTGAAGACATTTTTGTTTATCACTTAGAAAATACCCTGTTTATGGTAAAATTCATATTATTGTAAATATTGTGATTCATACCTATGTATAAAGAATTGTTTTTTTTTGTTGCTCAAATCATTTAAACTTTGTAAAAAACTAATCTGACACTTACTAACAACCTAAGCAAATTTCAAACATTTGTAGGTTTTATACATTTTTTAATGTATCGGTATAAATCTAATTTTCTTGAGAATTTCATCAATTCTACAAGAAATATTTTCATAATGTTTAGAAATTTGAGAATTTATTTTTAATATTTGTTTTCTCAGTTATACTCAAAGGAATGTATTCCAAATAATTTTTTAGATATTTAGATTAATGTGGACATTAAGTTGTTTGTTTAATTGTGAAAAGTTAAATTGTTAACTTAGAATAAGCAGAACCTATAAAACTTTTACAGTGGCCAAGTTAGAAAAAGCTTCAATAGAAGGCGACCAGTAGGCAAAGAAGCATTGTAAGTTTGTCATTCTGTTGTTGTTGTTTTTGAAGTATTTAGGAACAATAGATACTTGAAAATCCAGCAATAAAATGAGTTTTGTCTGTTTTAAAAATTCTCTAATTTTAATTGTTAGTTACTGAATTCATGTAGTACACTTAATTTTGTTTGATTCAAAATTAAGATCTTTTGATAACTTTGAAAGTAGGATTAACTTGTCTGTATATACGATACTTTACTTATATATATACAAAATAAATAGAATTAAGAATCTTGTTATAGTAAACTAGGAAACTTTTACTCAAATTTAAAAACTTAAGTTGTTACAAGTGGTGTAATTTTTGTGACAAAACAGCAAAAACTCAAGGCTTGAAATTAGTGATGGAAAGCTGGCAAGCCAGTGGGTTTTAATATTTATAAGAAGATACTGATATTTATTGCCAGATAATAATCCAGGTATGACTGAATATTCAAGCCAGTTTTAAAGAATGGTCAAAAGCATACTACAATAATCAATCGATAAGCCTTTTTCAACAGCTGCTTGTGCATTTTTCAATGGGATACCACAAGTTTAAATTAGTAAAAATATAATTTTCAATTGGTATTTCAGTTTTTGTTTATTATTATTTTTTTGCATATTAAGAAATGTAATTGTTGTCACAAATATAGGTCTAAAATTTAATAGTATATTATAATTATTAAATTGAAGATGCAACACTTGCTGTAAATTAACATGAACTGACTAATTATATTCACTAAGGGCACACAACTTGTGATTTTTTGTTGTTGTTACCAGCAGAGCTGGCACTTTTTTGAGAAACTTTTAAAGTTTTAAGCAAACATTTGACAGTGGCCAAAAAAGTTAGTTTCAAGCCCCAACATTAGTAATAAAGCAAAATATATAGATTTAAACAGAGGTATATATACCTATGCTTATATTTATCACAAAACCCAAGTTAGCATTTATTCAGTGGTCAACATCATACTGTCTAAATTTTTCATTTTTGATTTTAATATGTTTCTTTTAAAACCATTGCAGCTGTCATAATAATCCTTAATTTTTATTGAGCATGATGCATCAACTAATTTTAACAATTTTAAATTTGTTCAAGTAATATAAGAATGTGGCTTGTGTTTTTACAGATCTCTAAAGGTAAAGTCTGTAGAAAATTCTGACTCTGCTATTTCTCAGTCGGACTCTGGAGGTGAATCTCAGTCGTATGCTGAAATAAAGGAGCAAGGCTACTACAAAGAAATCTTTCATCCTTCCAAAGTTTGTAAGAAAACATTGTTTTTATTCATTAGTTCTCAAACACATTAAAAGAACAAACTTCAGAATTGAAATTTATTCAATAAAAAAAGATTTATTTAGTCTTATATGTAAAATTTTTTTAATTACATATTTTGATTTTAGGTTGATTTCAGCAAAATCCAAAAAAATCAGTTGTGTTTGTGAATTTTCTTAATTGTTTTCTGAGCATAGTGCACCACTCACAGCCCTCTAAGAAGAAAGTCACAATACTTTTGAACAACATACTGCTAATTTGACCTTGTAACTTGAATACAAGTGTGATATTATTAAGTTTTAGCCAGTTATTGTTTCTGAACCTAATTTCTCATGTAGTTGCCCTATCTTAGCTAAAAGAAGTCATAGGCTAGTGATCTAAACATGTAATAAACGTTTTCTAGTATTTTTTACTATATAAGCCAGCATAGCTTCCAGTTCAGTGGATATTCATGTAGTGATTGGAAGAAAGTGATAAAAGCTTAGTTTGGTAATATGTTGCTCGAAAAAAAAGTTTGCAAACAATTTCAATTACTGCCATGATCTTTTTTTTTAAATTTATTTATTTCTTTGAAATCTTGCTTTATCATTTTTTACTTCACTTGAATTATAATATTGCAGTATGATAAGAAAATAGCTTTTTCATGGAACGAGATGAGGTAGGCTTATTTAAGTAATTTTGATCTTGACATTATCAAGTTTTTTTGGTGACAACACCACTGTGTTAGGCCTTGTTGAAATTAGGCCTTATCAGCCTAAGTAACTGCTTGAATGGGCAAAATAAATTACCAAAATAAAATGTACAAAAAGAGTATGTAAATGAATATAAAACAGATTTAAAAGCTAATACATATATTTAATGAAACCATCTGATTAACAGTTTTAAAAAAAAGTCAGTTTGTTTATTATTTTGTTATGAAAAAAAGGTATTTTTGTTGTACCCCAGTGATCATTTTTAATCTACACATATGCATAATTTCATACCTGTATGTTCTTTATAATGTTATAGATTTCAGAATAAATTAGGAAATGTCTCAGAACTCTCTCAAAAGTTCGCGACAGTAGTTAACTGATGCTGCCGTTTAATGGAACTGTTGTGGTTTTGTTTATTTTCTTTCATGCTGGCAATTTCAATTCTTAGCTGCCAATATATTGTATTACTTTACTTAAAATGAGCTGGAGTACCTGTCCCCTGGATGGAAGTTATGTAAATTCATGATAAATGAAAGGTTATTTTTAGACATGAAAAGTTGCTTCCATTATATGTAATTGTTAAAAATGCAAAAAATGCCTATAAAAACTGCAAATTTGCATGTATCTCCACATGGACCCAACAAACCTTCATGCCATATTTGGTGAAGATCCATTAATAGGAGGTGAGATTGTGGTAAAAAATGCCCATAAAAACTGCAAAATGCAAAACTGAAAATTTGTATTTATCTCCCCATGGATCCAATGAACCTCCATACCAATTTTGGTGAAGATCCATCCACACCCTCTGAAGAAGTTACATGGACATACAACAGACAACAAAAAAGTACTATTATATTTATATACATATTGTACTTATAAATGTTTTATACAGCTTAAGGTTTTTTGTACAACATTTGTTATTGTTTAAAACTGTTATTGTTACAGATGATGGATGGATACAATACTTAAGTACATTAACAAGATGTCAAAATTTTCCCAGTAAAATATCATAAGGGAAATGCTTTAAGAACCAGAATTTTAGCCTATTTGTGTCACTTTACTTTCTTCATGCTTCAACATGTATAGCTTTTAAGTATGTGATATAGTTTTAAAATTTGTGCCTTCCTTGAAAATAAGCTGTATATGTTATATCTAAATGATATTGACCAAGAGGTTTGTTAGCAAAAATAGTTAACTATCCCGACAAAAATAACGGTGATGCCATTTTAAAAGGTGAGATCTAGGATCACTAATAATCTTTGTCAGTTTTTGCCTTGCTTTGTACAATTCATAGCTGAAAGTTTTGATTTTCATAATCAGCAAAATAATGTATCAAAAGAAGTATGTTAATAAATATCAGTCTAATTGAAACTGACTGGATATATAAAATGGAACTTTATGATCAACAATACAAACAAATTTAACATGTCCCCCAGGAACCAAGGGGTGTCTTTACACTACAAGTTGTTTAATATTAAAAGTAAGTTCAATCCGGAAACTTCCAAAGAGGGTGGTTTTGGACATATCTTTTCAAGGCAAGTTTTTGTTTGTTAATTGATAAATATTAAACTGAAATATAGCATCCTCAAGTCTCCATACTAGCTTTTACTAAGGTCTACCCGCTGGGAGGAAATTCAGTATATGTCAATAACCCACATTCTCAGGATCATTAATTAAGCAAATGCCAACCTTTTATGTTTCTGCTATCACCTTTTTATGTTTAGCTTTCAATTGAGATACGAAACATACCTGCGATTTGTTAGGGAAGGTCGAAGCATCACAATAGTCAGCAGTAGAATGAACAGACAGGAACACTTTGAAAGCAGCTACAGGAATGATATTGTACTCGTTTTTTAAAATAAGTTTTATTTAAGAAAAATAATATTATTTAAAGAGTCATAAGTGGCCCGCCAGTGGTCAATGGTAAGTTTGAAGGCTTATATTGTTAAAACCAGGTTTTGGTACCCATGGTGGGCACAGTACAGATAGCCCATTGTGTATGACTGTGCTTAACAACAAATAAACGTCATCATTGTTCTAGTGCTTCATCAGTTTTTTTCTTTAACTTTCTAATAAGAGAAGCTTTTGTTTTTCTTAATAGACCTTGGTGAGAACAAGAATTTGCAGTCAGAAGAAACTAAAACAGCAGAAAAGCTTACACCAGCTCCATTTGTGGCACCTGTGCAAAAGTCTTCCAGTCCCATCGTGGGAAGAAAGCCAGAGAAGATGTCAGCTATAACTACCTCCATTCCAGACAGTGGCAGTTCACTGTCTTCTCCTAGTCTCAATTCCACATACACTATAGTTAAACCAATACCTATAGTGCCTGAGAAAGAAATTCATCCTCAGAAGGCTGTGGTGTTTAATGAGGATCAGTATATACCAACTTTCAGTTTTTCAAACTTGAACAATTCAGTCCCCGTCCAGAAACCACAGAAAAGATCAAGTAACTCTGTGAACTTTGTACCAGATCAACGTGACCACCCAGCAGAACTTGACATGGAAGCTTTTTTGCCTGTAAGTTGGATAAAAGTCACTTCATAGTTCTGATAATTTATTTTTTTGTATTTTAGAAGAATCCAATGATACACCTGTCTGATTCACATGTGTTTCATGCTTCACAAATATTTCCCATTTTGAAATGGTTGTATTGTATTGTGATTTGTGGGTGTATTTGTTAAGAAACCTGTAATTCCATTTGCTTAAGATACTTAAGTATTCTGCTCTTGTACTGTTCAACATACACAAGTTTTTTTTTTCCTTTTCATTAGATGTGTCCCCAGATGGATCAGTGTTAAGTTCACAGACTTACAATGCTAGAAGCGGGAATTTGATTTCCCATGTTGTACACAACAGGCTTTGATCTAAAAGAATCAAACAATTCTTTAAATGTAGAGAATTTTCCAGTGTGATAAGATAGTATTCTAAGAACTTTTGTAAAACGGTGTATTTCTTGAAATTGTTGACAACAAAAGCAACTTATTATTTTTATTAGATTTTAACTTGTTATTGTTATAAAACTAATATATCTGAAGCCATCTAAATCATGGTATTTTTTTATTAGTTCTTGGCTCCTTATACATTAGACTTGCCCTGAGTGACCATGTCCCCAAGGAGACCACTCCCCTATTGCAGGCAGAATATTACAGTCCTGACAATTTGCCTAGCTTTACCATTATAAAATATTTCCCCAGGCTGACCACTCCCCTATTCCATAGTACGACCACTGAAGTCAGTCCCGAGGTCATGGTTGACTTTCCATATTGTGACCGCCTTTTTTATTTTTTTGAGGATAAACATTAACAGATTTGGTCATTGTTGGGATAACATTACTGTGACAGATACACTGTATGAATACCACATCAGCCAATGAGTAAAACATCAGTTTATTCTGTTTCGATCACAAGAGAAATGTATTGTCAGATGCTCTTATAAATCTCTATTCTATTACAAAATTATGCCAAAGGCAAAGCCACCTGATCGTGTTGAGCTATCATTGGCTGATAAAATCCAAGGTATTAAGGCACATAATTCCAGCAATAAAAGCCAGTTCAAATTAGCTGGAGAGTTCAATGTCAGCAAAACACAAATCCAGCAGATTTTGAAGCATAAGGCTGAATATGTGACAGCATTTGAAGAGAATCTACCATCTTCATGAAAATGCATTTGTTCTAGATTTCTGAGTGATGACCTTGAAGCATCATTATGGTCTTGGTATCAAAAAGTCTGTGCTATGAAACTTCCAGTTTCTGGACCTATATTGCAAGAGAAGAAACTTACAACAGCCACTATTGATTTTTTTACTTTAAAGTATCGTCTGGATGGCTCACTAAATTCAAAGCCAGACATTTTGCAACTCACAATCAGTGGTGAACATGGCAATGTAGATGCCATGACGGTTGATAAATGGAATGCCAAATTGCCTGCTATTATAGTGAAATGTAATTTTTAATTATAAGTTATAACAGAATAGCTATTCTAACAACCTTCTAATTTTCATATATCATTTGACTTAAATAAGTTTAAAAACAAAATGTTATCAAATAGTGTTCACAAAAATAACCATGAATATATATATATTTGCTTCAGAATTCTAAGCATTTTTTTAATTTAGTTTTTGTTACTTTAATTAGATCAGGTTTCAACTTAAGTTTTTTTATGTTTTTATTCAGGTTTGGTTGGGATTAATTTCACAAAATTAAGAACATTTTTATCACCATTTGCTTGACAATTTAGGGAATGTAATGTACAAAGAAGCAGTTGACAAAAGTTTGATTTCTTTTTTATAAAGTATGGTCATTATGTTTTGTTTTTTTGCATCTTTAAATAAATTGAAATTGTTTATTGTGGGTTAAATTTACTTCTTGTTGATATTTTTCATTTTCTTTAAATTAGTTAAAGTTATATCATATACGTTTTTCTTTTTTCTTATAAACATAGAAACATTTACAAAGTAATCTTTGCATCAGAGGTCAACCTCAGCCACAGTTGTCAGAGGCAGAAGCCATGTCCTCCATCTTTAAAGGCCACCAGTCAATAGTTACAG